GCTTCAGAAGTAAATGCTGCTGACCTACTTCTTTAAAATCAGCCAATGAAAATCCTACATGCATAATTCTACCTGAATATACATGCTGTCACACTGGGTTGTAGCGGATTCCACAGCAACAGGTACATCCGACCCAGAGCAAGAGACAAAAAACATAATCATCCTCATCCTCATCATCATCATCACCCCAGAAGTTGACAAATTAATTTTTTAATTTTTAATAAAAAAGTACAAGGGTGTAACAATACTTTGTAATGTGAACTATATCTCAGTTTTTAAAAAGATAAAGCAATAAACCCAGAAAGAGTACTTTTTAAAATGCCCAGCCCCCCTGTTGATTTTAACATGCTGATAGGATGCACTGAAAGAATTTTCTATTTTTACTACATGCTGGCCACAGGAATCTCGCAATAAAGTGTGGGCTTAAGGTTTTGATAGTCTAGGTTACTGATTTCTACTATTTCTCAAGATTCTATCAACATTAAAATTAATGCCAGCCTTTTTGTTGTTACTTAGTTGTTAGGAGCAGTTAAACGGATTGTGATTGTTTTTGCAAAATTTCCTGCATTCTTCATGATTCACAACATTCCCTCCTCCCAATTATATATGGAATAGGTGGTCCTTTTTTACAATAATATCTTCAGTGTCTTTGAACAAAAGAAAGTTGAGTACTATGCTAATTTTTTGTGTACCTGCTGCTCATGAGTGGTGACAAGGACAGCTTGAGCTGTCCACAGTCAGAGGACAGAGATGGGTAGAAAGTAAAAATCTGAAGAACCAAACCTCTCAGCTCTTGTTTCTGTTGAGCTGAAACTGACTCATAGCTACCTCCGATGGGTTTCCACTGGAGGGCTGTACACTGCAGGGGAGGAGACTGTCCATTGTTCTCCCTAGTTGCTGCTGGTGGATTTTCTCTGCCAGAGGCAGAGCCCTTGGGTAAGCAGTGCAGCTCCCTACACACTACATCACCAGAGCTGCCTAAAACCTCTTCCTCTTGCTGTTAGGTGCCGTTGAGTCAAGTACAACGCACAGTGACCCTATGAACAACAGATCTGAACCCTGTCCTATCCTACGCCATCCTCACAATCTCTGACACACTCGAGCCCATTGCTGTAGTTACTATGTCAATTCACCTGGCTCAGAGACTTCATCTTCTTTACCACCCCTCCACCTTCCCAAGCATGATGTCCCTCTCCAAGGAATAGCCTTTAGCAACATGCCCAAAGTATGTGAGGCAAAGTTTTATTACCTTTGCCTTCAAGGAACACTCTGGCTGTAGTTTCTCCAAGACATATCTGTTTATTTTTTTCACAGCCCATGGGATGTTTAGCATTCTTCTTCAAAACCATAATTCTTCTTCTGTCATCCTTATTCACTGTTCAGCTCTCAGATGCATATTAAGTGACTGAAAAGACCATAGCTTGAATCATGTGCACTTTAGTCTTCAAACTTACATCAAACTTATATTGCTCCTCAATAATTTAGAGAAGTTCCTGGCTACACACTTCCCTGTGCAATATGTCTCTTGATTTTCTGACTGCTGGTTTGATCGAAAGGTGTAGACTCTGGGAGACAATTGGCTTTACAAGCTTGGAAGAGAAGCATGAGAAATTTTTTTTTATTTTTTATTTTAAAATCTATTTTAATGAAAGGTTACAGAGACTTTTGATTTCCATTCATTCATTGTTGCACTTTTCTCCCTGTCCGCCCCATCCCTGCAATTCGCTTTTCTCTTTGAAAAGTAAAAGAAAAATTTCTTTCATTGTTATTTTGTAAGATGAGATGGGAAGGGAACACCAAGAAAGGGATCCAGCAACCCGAACTGCAGAGAGCAGGCTCATCTGGAGTTGAGGAACTCTGCTTAGAGGCTAGGACAGAGGACAAAGCTGACCTGGATAAAACTGACAAGGTGCTGAGCAGGACAGTGGCCTAGGGCAAAGTTTCAAAGTTGTACTCTGGACCAGTGCCTGGCTGAGCTGGTGAGTGGGCCTGAAACTGCATCAAATGGAGGCGCATTAAAAAGAATAAATTAAAAAAAATTGAAAAGTAGTCTTTATCTGAGCTTGCAGGGGTTTAGGCACAATGTAGGGTGATGTTGGACATTCAATTTTTGCTTCATTCTACATAGTTTTGTGAAGTCCTGGAGGAACAATGGTTCAAGTGTTAGTCTGCTAAACAGTTCAAACTCATGAGATGCTCTGAGGCAGAAAATAACTGGAGATTCGCTTCTACAATGATCTCAACTGCGAAAACGCTAAGGGACAATTCTCTGTTTTATAGGGTCCCTCTGAGTCAGAATAAATGCCAATGCACAAAACACGCACATGCAGTTCCTATCAAACAATTCCTTACATGCCAATGAAGTTAATTTTCTATTTGAAACAACCAATGAAGCATGAATCAATAGGAACTCGTATACATTGTAGGTGGGATTGTAAAATGGTATGACCACTCTGGAAGGTAGTTTGGCACTTCCTCAAAAAACTGATGATAGAAAGTCAGTATGACCCAGACATTCCATTACTTGAAATATACGCCAAGAAAATGCGAACTGAGGCTCAAATAGAGACTTGCATACCAATGTTCACAGCAGCATCATTCACCGTCACAAGAACATGAAAACATCCTAGATGTCCAACTATAAATGAGTGGATTGAGAAGTTGTAGCATATTCACACAATGGAATACTACACAGCACAAAGGAGCAACGATTTTGTAAATTATTACCTAACTTGGGAGGGACTGGATAGCATTATGCTGAATGAAATAACTCAGTCCCATAAGGACAAGTACTGTATAAAAATCATTGTACGAAGAGTATGAGGACTCAAAGGGGAGGAGGGAGGGTGGAAGCAGAGGGGTTAGGATGTGCAGGGAGGGGGAGTATTAATTATAGGAGCACACAATTTGATGGGTGGGGTGTTAGGAAATGGGAAAGATCTGGTGTGAAAAACAATGTGTTAGAAGTTTGTAAAATAAATCCGTATAAAATTAAACAACAACAATAACAACAACATATGAATCAAAAGGAAATTTGCATGTGGCAATGGACTGAATGGCTGTGAGTTTAGGGGGTGTTGTAGTGCTTGGCTTACAGCTGGAAGAAAAAAAAATCTCAAATTCATTGCCATCAAGGCAGAACAGAGTCATAACTTGAGCAGGTTTTCAGAGGATGTAAATCACGCAGGAGGAGACTGCCCTGCCCATCTTTCTCCTATGGATCAGCTTTACCGTTGGGCTGGAAGCACAATTCCTTACCCACTAGGCCAGCAGAGTTGTTGTTATTGCTATGTGCCACTGAAACCAACTCACAGTGGGTTTTCAGTCCATTCCTTCTCTCATGGAGCAGCTGGTGGATTTGAACCATATGCGTTTGGACAAGCAGTGCAGCTCCTTACTACTAGGCCACCAGAGCCGCCACCAGGGACTCTCCTTGAATTCCTCACATAGTGGCAGAAGACAGACGTCATGATGGACACAGGGCACTGCTTTTCTGCAGTCATCTCTGGCCCAAGGATAATTAGAGTCTAAAACCAAGAAATTCCTCACTGGACCTTAGCACCCCAACTTAAATGTGTGGTTAAAAAAAAAGCTTTCTTCAGGCCATGCAGCCAACTCCCATGTCTTAATTGTAAATTTGTTTTCTGTTTAGGTTCAATACAATTTTGAGTTCAGGTAACTTTTCAGGCTTAGCAAAGGAAAGTGCATGGCAACCCAAATTTGTAATGGTAAAACCAATTATCTTGCATCTGAATACTGAAGTTTCCTTTGATTTTAGCCATGAGTCACATTCACAGAGACTGTACTCTAATAGCATTATGCTTTAAAATAGAGTAATTGCTGTGTTGTAAAATAGAAGCAGACAAATGGAAAAATGAGCAGAGTGGATGTTTTGAAACCTAATTTCCCATGTGGTTTTAGTTGAGTCTCTATATCTTGCAGACCCCAGCCTGCCTGTATACAAACATGCACAGGCACACAGAAATAGCCATACTACCTCCTTCTCCATACTTTATATGTAGAATTCTTTCCCTGGGTTCTCTCAGCCTCACCCACAGTGTGCTTGCTGTTTGTGGGTGAAGCATATGGGAGCTCAGGCTTCAGAGCAGGAGAGTCCTGTTTGGAAACTTAAAACCTTTAAGTACCTTGAAGTGGTAGAACAGGAAGTACTTAGGGGAAACTGAGGAGGGGATCTGAGGAGTCTGGACAGGCAGAGCCACCTCTTAAGTTCTGCCAGTAGTTTTTCCACAAGGAGACAGTCTTCCCACATCCACCCGGGGCTGAACTGCCAGAAACGAAAGCTAAGAGCTGACCTGAGGCTTTTGCTCTGGCACAGAGGACTTGAACACAGCACCGAACCAAGAATAAATAGAAAACCTACTCCATTCCATCCGATTATGATCTCTTTCTTCTCACCTCCACTCAGGCGGTGACCCAAGAGTTGACTGTTGTTGTTTGGTGCCATCGAGTCAAGTACAACTCATAGAGACCCTATGAACAACAGGTCTGAACTCTGTCCTATCCTGTGCCATCGTCACCATCTCTAACACATTTGAGCCCACTGCTGCTGTCACTGTGTCAATACACCTGGTTGAGGGTCTTTCTCTCCTTTGCTATCCCTTCACCTTTCCAAGCATGATGTCCCTCTTCAAGGAATATCCTCTCCTAGCAACATGGCCAAGGCATGTGAGAGGAAGCTTTGTCATCCTTGCCTCCAAGGAGAATTGGACTGCACTTTCCCTAAGCCATAGCTGCTTGTTCTTTTGACAGTCCCGTGGATATTCAGTATTCTTCTTCAACAACATGCGGGTGGGGTTGGGGACAACGAACTTGATGCCTTTCAACCAGCAAAAGAAAAAAAAAAGAGCACTGGCACAGTTTTCTCTTATACAGACCTCTGTGCCTGCACAGGAGGGAAAGAAGAACGGTAAGGAGTGAGGAAGGAGAGATGTGATGACTGTGATGTTCTATGACCAGCCCTGACAGGAGAGAAGACGGACGGGAATGGGTAAAACACAGCGACCGCGGCCGGGCCAGTCTCTTACCATAGTGAGGGATGATGGCCCAGGCCATTGCCGATGCGTAGATGCCACCGATCATCCAGAACATGCAGAGCCAGCTCAGGTGCTCCCCTCGCTTCTCCCGGGCCAGCACTTCAGCGAAGTAGGAGAACACTGTGGGAATGGCTCCTCCGATCCTGCAGAGATGCAGATAGGAGATGTGAGAGCTGGGCCTGAGCAGCAGGGGTGAGATCCTCTAACTCTGCTGACTGCAGACGCCCTTCCCCTCCCAGCAGATGGAGTACTGACTTTCCCCCTCATTCTATAACCCTAATGCTATGGCCACCATGTTTAAAACAGGTTTATTCTTCCTCCTCAAACTTGCACCTGCAATGAAGATATGCCCTTCTTGTTGCCTTATTGAAAATGGGTGTTACAGACATTGTATGCTAACTTAAAGGTCCAAAGCCACTCAGCAGGGCTGCCAAAGAGTTTCTGTGACACCCAAGCAGATTGACTTGACACAACTAACAAGAACAACAGCAGCAAATCTGAGATTCAGATGGGCTTTCTGCTTACTGTTGAATCTTATACATGATATTTCTTTTTAAAAATGAAGTGCAAAAATGAATGAGTGGAAATCCAAAATCTCTGTAAGTGTTCATTAAAATAATAATAAAAAAAATCTCTCGGGGGAAAAAAGTGACAATTTTTGGATGGGCGTTCTCCTCCCATGTGATTTACTGCCTCTGAAAATCCACTGGAGGGTCAGCTCTGAGTAGGTTCTAACTTGATGACATACAACAACAACAACAACAACAGTGACTACTAGGGAGCTCTGGTGGTGGCTTAGTGGTAAGGAATTTTGCTGTTGTCGCAAAGGTAAACTCTTCAAATACCCCAACTACTCTGGAGAAGAAAGATGGGCAATCTCCTCCTGTCTGATTTACTGGCACTGAAAACTAGCTGGAGGGTCAGCTATGGGTAAGTTCTGACTCCAGAGCAAACAACAACAGTGAACATGAACCTATTTCCTAAAAGGATGTGATGGGTTCTTTCCATGACATGGGGGCTTGGGAAACAGCTTCGAACACCTGTGTGGGGCCATCTGTAGTTAACACTTACTCTTTGCTTCCACGCAATGCTGGGCCCTTCAGCATGTTCAGGCTCTTGTGCCAACGAACTAACATAGTTGTTTCCTAATCTGTTATGGTCCCCGCCCAGGAGACATCATGGCTGATTGGGAGAGAGACACTGGTGGAATGAGAGACGGAGCCACTGGTTTATTTACCAGCAGGATAATACTTCCTTTACTCTGAGGTACTTATGAGAACTGCTGCTGATGCTCTGTAGAGATGACTCTAATGGTGACTTCTCAGACATCCTACATTGAGTTTTCAAAAAAGGTCCAAGAAACTAAAATTTTGCTTGCTCTAGGGAGATAGGAATAAACTCATCAAATTTCAAATAGCTCTTGACTCTAGTGTTATGAACTGCTGTCTTATGAAGGAAGACCTGCTCTGGAGCCAATTCTGACACACAGTGACCCCATTTATCTGAGACGATAAATGTTTATGGGAGGAGACTGCCCATCTTTCTCCTGCACAATGGCTGGTGGATCTGACAAACTTTTGTTAACATCCTGACACATTACCCACTGCATCACCGGGGACCCTTCCTACAGCATCTGGTATTCCCAGGTGGTCTCATCCAGGACTAGCCAGGCCCTACTTTACTTAGCGACACAGATCAGATAAGATGGAGTGTGTTCAGGATGGTGTGGTTGTAGACCACAGAGTAAGGGAGTATGGAAAAACACTACTTACATCTTTCTAAGCAACTTGCTACTGAAAAGAAAAAAAATCCCAAAAACAAACAATAACCTCAAAACCAAAACACCTCACTGACATAAACAGATGGTGAAAATAAAACCTAGTAATACTGTTAAGAGAAGTATGCACTAATATTTTATGCTCAGATTTCTGAAAAGGGCAGGTGGGGACAGCACAAGAGAGGAAGACCCTTGATGAGATAGATTGATTCAGTGACTGGGATAACTGGGGTGTGAGGGGGTGATGGTGGTGTCAGAAACAATAAGATTGGCACAGGATAGAGCAAGCTTTAGGGCTGTGGTACACAGAGTCGCTATGAGTTACAGGTGACTCGACAGCACATAACAACGACATTGCTATTGACATTTCCTATAAATATGATGTCAAGGAATAGCACATGTGCTTATCAAAATTGGTCTTTTTTATGCTCTGGGAGATGATCAAGAGGTATTGGCAGTGACCTTAGAAAATTCAATTTAGGGAAAACTACATCTGTAGCAAACTAGATGCACCAAATGGAACTTGGGCTTTATAAGGTCATTCCGTTGCAGCTGGTCGGTCCCATTAGGGAGTAATTTCACGGATTTGTTCCTGATTGAAGTGATGCAGTAGCTAACCACAACAGGGTATGGACACACTTCATAGGCCAGTGTTTTTTAAACCAAAGGTTGCAGAGATCAACTTATTTTGTTAGATATTGTTGAGTATATTTCTACTCATAGAGACCAACTCATATTCTATGCAACAGAAAAGCACTGTCCGGTCCACCTCTTCAACAAATGGTGCTGGCAAAGCTGGACTGCTACCTGCAGGAAGCTGACACAGGGTACACCTCTCACATCACACACAAAAATCAACTCACAGGGGTCAGAGGCTTGGAAGTAAAGCCCAAACACATAAAGCTCATAAGAGACAAACTGGGATCAAGAACAGAAAGCCTAGTCTACAATATAAAGAGACTGCCAAATACAGCCAGAAATTCACAATCTGAAGAGGACAAAATGGATGAATGGGATTTTCTAAAGATTAAATCCCTGTGTGCATCAAAAACTTTTTCCAACAGGGTGAAAAGAAAACCTACTGACTGGGAACAAACATTTGGCAATACCATCTCTTACAAGAGTCCCATAATGAAAGTTTATAGAATCCTCCAGGGCCTCCACAAGAAAAAGACTGATAACCCAATTACAAAACAAGAAGAAGACATGGAAAGAATTTTCAAAGAAAATATTCGAATGGTCAACAGACACATAAAGAAATGCTCCAAATCTCTGGCAGTAAGAGAGATGCAAATAAAAATCTCAATGAGATACTCTCTCACTCCAGCAGCAGTGGCAAAGTTTAGCAGGGCAGCTAGTAATAAATGTTGGAGACGATGTGGCGAGAAAGGAACTCTTTTACATTGCTGGTGGGATTGTAAAATGGTACAACCACTCTGGAAGGCAGTTTGGTGCTTCCTCAAAAACCTAAACATAAAAATTCCGTATGACCCAGCTATTCCACAAATGAATGGATTGAGAAGTTGTGGTACACTCACACAATGGAATACTACGCAGCACGCAGGAGCAATGATTTTGTAAATTACTATCTAACTTGGGAGGTACTGGAGAGCATTATGCTGCGTGAAATAACTCAGTGCCACAATGATAAATACTGTATAAAACCATTATTTTAGAATGAATATAATGATCCAACGTGTGTGTGTGTGGGGGGGGGAGCAGAGGGATGAGGATTGTGGAGTGGGGGTGGAGTTGCACAATTTGATGGGTGGGGGGATCTGTGAAGGAAATGGGAAGGATGTTTTGTGAAAAATAATGCATTTAAACTTTGTAAATAAATTGGTATTAAATAAAACAACACTGTATGGTCCTGTGCTTTTTTTGCAATCATTTCTATATTTGAGCCCACTGTTGTAGTCATTGTCAATCCATCTCATTGAGAATATTTCTCTTTACTGCTGACCTTCTAAATATTAAAAAATATTTTAAGAACTTAAAAGATGAAAATTCTGTAGCCTAGTTGCAAGAAGCTGTGCTGCAATCCTGAAGGCATGTGGTTTGAGGCCACCAGTTGTTCCACAGCAGAAGGATGAACAATGTCCTCCCATGAGATTAAGTGACTCTGAAAGCCTGTTGGAGGGTCAGCTATGGGTTGGTTCTGACTTTATGGTACGCAACAACCACCACCAAGTAGTAAGTATTGCTTCATGAAACGTGCACTTCTCTTACACAGATTATATATATATATGTATATACTGTGGCCTAGTGGCAAGGAGCTGTATTGCAATCCTAAAGGTATACGGTTGGAGGCCACCAGCTGCTCCACGGGACAAGGATGGACAATCTCCTCCTGTGCGATTAACTGCCTCTGCAAACCTGCCAGAGAGTCAGCTATGGGTTGGTTCTGATTTGACAGCAAACAACAGCAACAACAATGGGTTGAAGTCTCTGTGGTATAAGCCATTAACGTGCTTGTTTGGCTGTTAATCCCAAAATTGTGGGTTTGAGTCCATCCAGAGACACTTCTAAAGAAAGGTCAGATGACCTCCTTCTGAAAATCAGCCACTGAAAACACTAGGGGACCCAGTTCTACTTTGACAGGCATGAAGTCACCATAACTGACAACTGGATTGATGCAAAATAAATTGGGGAGGGTTTCTTAAGGGATAAAATGTATTACAATGTGTTATTTTAGAGCAAGAGTTGCTCTTAAAAGATTTTACAAATTACTAGCTTCTATCTTGTCTTCTGAACTATGAATGCAGTTCCAAATACAGCCCAAGGCAGCTAAGTAACACCATTCACTGGGGTAGCTGACAAGTTCAAGTCTACCAACCAGACCTTCCAACAAGAAACAAAAGCCAGAGGGTTTCCAGATTCTCTTGTCTGTGCTATTTAATTTGTTTTGTGTTTTGCCTGACTTTTTAAGGACTCATACTATAATCAACACTGTTCATTCATTCGCTTCTTTATACAAAGCCAATTGTTTAAGAACTAGTTATCAACAAGGATCTAAGAATTCACATTGAATAAGACATAAGCCCTTGCCTTTTTGTGGTTCAACTCACAGCTGATCAAACAGCAAAAAAAGGAGTGTTATTCTGAATACTCTATTTTGTGAGGGTTACATACAGCACCCTTCATAGTCATTCTGGTGAATGTCTCTATTTTCAAAAGACTCCATTGCTTCTGGATATTTGTTCACTGCAGGACAGAAGCCTCCAAGCTGAGGTTAACTGTGTGATATGATGACATTGTTGTGTGCTGTCAAGTCAGAACTGACCCACAGCAGACCCTCCAGCAGGTTTTCAGAAGCAGTAAATTGCATGGAAGGAGTCTGCCCATCCTTCTCCTGTGGAGCAGCTG